GTCGGTGTAGCTGGAGGGTGACGTCGGACCGACTCAAATAATGGACCATGTGTGACTTGCCATTGTCTAATTTCAAGTTAGAGCCTAGCACCCCCCACCTTTCGGGCCAGCAAACTCATCGCCACGCCCAAGGTGAAGGTAGCCACGTCGGGCCCGCTTTTGAAGATGTGTTTGAGCCGAGTCGGGTCATGGGAGAAGATATCCCCGTACTTGGGCGAGATCTCGCACAGGAGCTTTTCTGACTCAGCGTCCACATGCTTCATGACCGTGCCTGCGCAGTTCAGCAAGTTGCGGTCCAGCTTGTTCCCACCGTAGGTGAAGTGGCCGTGCGTCTGCTGCAAGCTGGCCACTTTGTCCTGAGTCATGGCGTCACATAAAACATTATTTGCCAGAAACGAACTGCAAAATCTGAACCTCAATATCGCTGAGACTCGAGAAGGTGCTTGGACCGAGTGGGTCCGATACCGTGGAAGAGTTCATCGTTGTTTTCGAGGATGCGGCCAGGTTCGAGGGGCCAGTCCAAAACGCCCCGGGCTGGATGACATTCTTCCTTCGCTCGAAAGTGCCGTTGGAAAAGTTGGGCTTGCAGAAGCGGGAGGACAGTTGACAGGGAAGGTAAGACTCACGGGCTCTTGCGTTTTGAAGCAACGACACCAATACCTTGTGACAGGACCGATTCGCCGTTGGCAGCCACCCGCTGATGTTTCGGGGCGTCCCGCCACTGAGCACCCTTGAAATTGAAAGCGTCCTTCGGGGTCGAAAGACCACCATCCTGGGCTTGACCGGGACGAACGGGCCGACCCAGCCACCGCCGAGATGGCCGAAGACCACAGAGCCGTGGCACTGGGGAGAAATCATGCACCAGGCAAGGGCCATGGGCCATGTAAGAAGAGTACAAGCATGCCAAGTGAGAGAGTCAGCAAATTCTTGAGATTCTGATGCAGGACTTCTGGAATGCCCTTTTCAGCACCATCCATGCCAAGGCGGTGATCGACCTCTCGCCCACGCCTGTGGTCGCAAGGACGGCGATGGACCGAGGTGTGCAGTACACTGCCTTGAAATCCTGGCTTTGTTATAACTAGTTAAGAAAGTTATCTTAGTTAGCTAAAAAGTTAACTTGAGTTAGCATGAGTTAGCATTAATTATGATAGCATGTATTATGTATGTAATCCCTTTGGAATGTATAGCATGTAAATGAGAAGATTGGGAAGGCGCTCAATAGGAAATGCATTAGTTATGATGGCATTCTTTATGTACCTAAAATGATACCTCCTTTAGGGTTCCTCCTTTAAGGTTCTTCCTTTAGGGTTCCTCCTTTAAGGTTTTTCCTCTGGGGTTCCTGCATTAGGGTTCGTCCTTTGGGTTCTTGCTTTAGGGGTCCTCCTTTAAGGTTTTTCCTTTAGGGTTCCCCCTTTAGGGTTCGTCCTTTGGGGTTCCTCCTTTAGGGTTCCTCCTTTAGGGTTCTTCCTGTAGGGTTTGCTTCTTGAAGGTTCTTAATTTAGGGTTCCTCCTTTAGCGTTTCTCCTTTAAGGTTCTTCCTTTAGGTTTCGTCCTTTGGGGTTCCTCCTTTAAGGTTCCTCCTTTAGGGTTCTTCCTGTAGGGTTTGCTTGTTTAAGGCTCTTCCTTTAAGGTTCCTCCTTTAGGGTTCTTCCTTTAGGGTTTCTCC